GCATGGGGTAGTTGTTCTTAACCGTGTAGCGGTTGAGACCGCGATAGTCGATGCATAGACGGAGAGTTCCATCCGCTTTGCGAGCAAAGAGGACGGGTGCAMCCCACGGGGAGTTGCTGGGTTTAATGAAACCCAGTCTCAGGAGCTCTTCAAGCTGACGCTTGAGTATGGAGAAAGGGGCGCAACTAACAGTACGCCCGGGCCGCATGGGGGAGCGGCGGGGGCAACCACGGCAGGCTGCGAGGGAGCTGCGGTAGAAGAGGTCGCAACAACCGAGGGAATAGGAAGAAGGTAGGATGGGGATGGATAGGGTGCAGGGTGAGGGAAGCGAGCCTGCATGGAAGGCAGAGTGGAGGAAGAAGGGGGTGCGCCCGAAGGCGAGGCCACCTGTGAGGGTGGGGGTGGCTGAAGGCGTAAGAGGGCGAGGTCGGTCCGGGTCTCGACAAGCTCGTCCTCAAGACGTTGAACGTAAATCGAGCGAGGAGTGACAGGAGGAAGAGTGCAGGAAGTGGACGCATGAGCGGCGCGAGGCATCCCACAGGGGGGAAGAGCCAGGTGGCGTTGCGGTCGTACGAAGGGGAAGGAGAAGCGGGGCACCCAGAAAATTTGAGACCACGGCAACGGGTTGTGGTCCCGTGGCCGTAGTGACTGGAATCTGGGTGGGTGCGCCCGTAGAGTGAGGGAGGGCCTGACCCGTGACAGCCGTCGCGCTAGGAGCGTGGACAGTCACAAGGATGGCCGGGTCGGGGGCGGCAGAGGAGGAAGCTCTACCGTGGCCACCATGTTGGAGGACGGGGGACCCGGACTGGGAGCCAGGAGAAGAGAGAGAGTGAGGAGAGGAAGGATGACCAGCGTCCTGGAGTTGCCGCAGGCCAGTGGCAAGAGTCGCCACCTGCGCTTGTAAGGGCGCAAGGAGGGAGGTGATGAGGGTGTGCAGATCCCCCTGGGGCTGATGGCCCTGGTCCGTCGGCATGGGTGTGGAGCCCGATGCCGAGGTCGTCGCCGCCTCGGCAGCTTGGGACACGCCGTCGGCCATGGGGAGGTAACGGGCCGGACTAGAGAGGGCCGGGGGAGGTCCGCATGGGTGGAGGGCGGAGGGGGAGGTCTGCGATAAAAGGCGACGGGCGGCGCTAGTAAATCGAGCGCGGGCGCCGTCAAAAGGGGAGGGGTGGTTCGGATCCAGGGTTCCTGAATGAAAAGGGAGAGTAAGGGGGGGGTTAGGAAAACCCTAAACC